CACTGCCCTCCAGTCTGGGTGACAGAGTGAGACTCCAACTCAAAAAAAAAAAAAAATTATAATCCCTCACTTTCATCCAGCAAACAATCTGTGGGGAAACTCACTTCAATTGGATCCTTTCAACAGCAGTTAAACATGCCCAAGTCTCTCCCTTAAAAAACAAACAAAAAAGATGAAATTCCTTAACTCCATGTTCCACCATCACTTATAGTCCCTTTTCTCCCCTTCATTGAGAACTTTCAGGCTGGGCAGGGTGGCTCACACCTGTAATCCCAGCTGCTTGGGAGGCTGAGAAGAGAGGATCATGAGTTGGAGCCCACCCTAGGCAAAACGGTGAGATCCTATCTCCGTTATAAAAACAAAGAAACAGGCCAGGAGTGGTGGGTGGCTCAAGCCTGTAACCCCAGCACTTTGGGGGGCCAAGGCAAGAGGACTGCCTGGCCTGCAGGTTAGAGACCAGCCAGGGCAACATGGTGAGACCTCAATTCTACAATAAATCAAAAATTATCTGGGCATGGTAGTGCACGGCTATAGTTCCAGCTACTTGGAAGGCTGAAGCGGAAGGATTACCTGAGCCCAGTAGGGTGATGCTGGGGTGGCCCTGAGCACGCCACTGCACTCCAGCCAGGGTGACAGAGTGAGACTCCAACTCAAAACAAACAAACAAAAAAAGATTTTAAAGAGAGCTGCCTATAAATGACCCAACTTCCTCACATAGAATTCTGAAATCTGAATTTTCAGGTCAGGCGCAGTGGCTCATACCTGTACACTCAGCACTTTGGGAGACAGAGTGGGGAAGAATGCTTGAGCCCAGGAGTTTGAGACCAGCCTGGGCAACACAGCGAGATCTCGTCTCTACATAAAAATGAAAAAGAATTCTGAGTACGCAAACCTCAGTCATGTCCAGCAGACATCAGCTGAGTATGAACAGACAAGATGGGAAGGGAGTGGGCAGTTATGAGGGGTGTCTGAGGAATGGTGCTAAGCTGTAAAATCGGAATCCCGTGGTGCTTGTGCAGACTTCTGCGACCTTTCCTTGGATGTCTGAAGAGAAATGTCAAAGCTGCCCTTTTCCCCCTTTCCTTTCTGCTGCTAAAAAGAGGAACTAACTTTTCACTCTTTTTTTTAAAAAAACGGATTCGTTTTATCACTTCGGAGAGAGAACATTTTGATTACACAGATTTTTCTGTTGATCTTTTCTTCTCATCCAACAACTGTTGGGTTCCTGAGAATACCAATAAAGTGTGAATCTTGCAGAGACTAATAGACTAAAAACCACTCCCAGACAAACCGAGAGGCACACTAGGGTGAAATAAGGCGATGAAGTGCCCAGGCAGAAACCTAATAGGAAGCCCTAGGAAATTATGTTTTGAAGATGAGGATCCAAAGAAGTGACCAATCAGTGCACTGACATGTGGGAATATAACAGGACTATAATAGCTTTGATTCTTGTTGCAAGGGGTACAGTTCAGTAAGCAGCTCCTTCAAGTTATACACCAAAAGCATGCTCACATCCAAGGAAGTGAAGCCCTCTGGGGCCCTTATTTTGACCAGTAAAAAAGAAGTCCATCTAACCACT